GAAACCCGACTACTCCAACCCCTCGTCTGCTGTAGCAGGCAGCGAATGAATCCGCCGAGACAGTCATCGGCTTGGATCGTGCGTCCTCACGCCCCCAACCGGGGACGTTAAGATGACCCCGTCGTCGTCGTCCGTAGTGTCAGTATTAAGATACTGCTCATCTGCCAGTGTCAAAGGAAAAGTTCAATTCAAAAGTTAACCGTAACACAAATGAGTGCAAAAAGAGAAGAATCTGCAACGGGTAACAACGAGATGTCGTTTGCGGAGATTGAACCAACTGAAAAGCCGACACAAAGCAATAGCAACGCAATCCATGATGAACCCAATGTTCATGGGGTGCATCAGCATGAGGACCGAGAAGAAGTTATTGAAGAGCGGTTGATCAAGAAATTGCTACTCTGGAAGATGCGCGACCATTGATAATGTAAATATTGATTACAATAATAACGAAATCTAATTCAGCATACAGCAAAAATTAAACAGAACCTAATGGAACTGCCATTCAGTATCTGTAAGTTGCATGCTATTGTATATTATACCTCTATATACAATAAATATTTGCATTGGAGCTTACTACATAGATACCGTGTTAATCTAGTTTAGGTTAAGTTTGTAGCGGAGTTGTTCCAAAGTTCAAGCAATAAAATTAATTATTGTGTTTGGAAGATAATTGATTGTTTATAAAAGTACCTATATGTAACTTAAATTGTATTGTAATGTTTTTTACATAATTATGATTAATTATTCTACGTATGTAAAAAATATTTTTTAATTTAATAAACATTTTTTATAATGTAAAACCATTTTATTTATTTCAATGAAATAAAATGACCAAATTGTGAAAGAGCAGATTTATAACAGAAATTGCTACTGTGGAAGATGCGAGTATCATCCATCCAACATCAAATTAAACAACTACCCCCAAAGAGATGTCGTTTGCAAAGATAGAACAAAATGAGAAACGAAGAATGGCGATGCTTCCTACGATTAACCCAATAAAACCATTCATGCGGTGCATGAGGACCGAGAGGAAGTTATTGACAAAATGGTTAATGACCAGATTGTGGAAGAACAGATTGATAAAAGAAATTGCTACTCTGGAAGATGCGAGTAGTTTGATGATACAAATAATACAAATGATACAAGTATTGATTATAACAATTTAACATAATCCAATTGAACAAAAAATGGGAACAATAACAAGAAATGAACAATTTTGACGATGCAGAGGTTGATTTTTGATTTTTTTTTTAAGTGGGGAAAATCATCGAATGACTGCTCCCGCCTTGGTGAGGCGGGAAGGAGTGTCAGACTCTTACTGACTAAAAACCACCCCGTTCCTTCTCCTGCACGTCGAGCCGGAGCCCCGGTTACCCGTTAGGTTCTCCGCGACAATACTGTAACACCTTAAGGTGAAAAGTATACTCGATGTATACTTTGTATTAAATTAATGCTTTGGACAGAGTTCATGAAACCAAGATGTATAGTATGTTATGTTAATCTTGTTTGGCTAAGTTCTTAATTTGTAACAGAGTTGTTCCAGAGTTCAAATAATAGAATTAATAGTTGTATGTAATAAAAAATTGATTGTTTATAAATGTAAAAGTGAGTTGAACAATATACATGTTCAGTTAAGTGCATACAAAATGTATTTTACATTAAATAAATGTTGTATAAAATATATGAATATTTTTTATTATATTGCTATATAAGTAACAATAGATGTAATTACAATTTTTAGAACTAAAACATCACAAATAGTTCACGAATAACTCACCGACAAGCAGCGAGTGGTAATAAAATGCAACGGCTGGTCGCTCGGTAGTATCAGTAGCTTACTGCTCGTCAGCCAATGAAGACGTGTATCAAAATGTTTCAGTGTGTCTTACCCTGTTGAAGGAAAAATTCAATTATAAAAGTTCTAAACCGTAACACGAATGAGCGCAAAAAGAGAAATATCTGCAACGGCCCGCAAAGAAAAGACTAAGAGATGTCGTTTACAGAGATAGAACAAAATGAGAAACGAAGAATGGTTACGTTATCCATCCTCATGCACAACATGAATGGTTACATTAGATTCATCCTAATGTAACCATTCATGTTGTGCATGAGGACTGAGAGGAAGCTATTGAAAAGGATTAATGACCAGATTGTGGAAAAGTAGATTGATAAAAGAAATTGCTACTCTGGAAGGTGCCAGTAGTTTGATGATGCAGTGTTTGATTACCGTAATAACATTATCAACAAGGAATGGAAGAATAGTGGCTGGAATTAGGAGCATACAGCAGAAATTAAACAGAACCTGATGGAACTACCATTTCGTTTCTGTAAGCTGCAACTTGTAGAAATATAGTTGGCTCAATTCAATTGGATTAGACATCAATTTTATGATATAAGTTTATTTAAAAAGGATCTGATCGCATGTAGCTATATGTTAATTTACATTATGTTCTAAAATTATGTAACTGATTTAAGAGATACTGTATAACACCTTAATGTTAAAAGTTTATTTGAAATTAAATTACATTTCCTAGAAATGTAACCCAAATGGTAATGGAATACTGTTCTCATCTTTGGGCGGGGGCACCCCAGTACCAGCTTCTTCCTCTGGACCGCATTCAGCGGCGTGCCGTTCGGATTGTTGGATGTCCGGATGTTTCAAACCAGTTCGACACTTTGGCAATGCGTAGAGATGTAGCTTCATTGTGCATTTTCTACCGCTTATACCACGGGGAGTGCTCTGAGGAATTGTTTGACCTGATACCTGCCGCATCTTTTCGCCATCGACCCTCACGACAGCATATGCATCCCCATCATATAGATGGTTGGCAGTTGGCAGGCCACAACTGTGCGGTTCTCACGTAGCTTCCTGCCTCGCACAGCAAAACTGTGGAATGATCTGTCGTCGGCGGTATTTCCGAACCGATACGACCTTCAAACCTTCAAGAGAACAGCGTACTCCTTTTTAAAGGGCCGGCAACGCACCTGTTACTATTCTGGTGTTGCGGGTGTCCATGGGCGGCGCTGATCGCTTACTATCAGGTGATCCGTCGGCTCGTTTGCCTCCTATTCCATAAAAAAAATGGTAATTTGGGTTACATTTCCGAACGCAAAACAACTGAATGCATGACTTTGACACATAGCTGACAGCAAATGAAAGAATGACACATGACATTTGACATTGACATTATTGTATTGTATGTTCAATTCATAATAGCCCAACCAACCAGTACAATATACAATTTAAAAGACTAAAGGTAATTATATGAAAACTAATTGAATAAATTTATGAATATGAGGGCAGTGAACATTCCGGAAAAAAATCATTACCCACTTAGATTAATAATTAGTAACCATACAGAAATAATGATGATAACATGATTGTAACTATTATGAACTGCGAAACTATACCTACAATGAGATGACACAAGTACAATACAAACAACTATGAATGCAACTAAGAAATCCAATAGGTATGTGCCTAGTGGTAATAATGATATTGACGACAAAATGCGTACGTACTATTATTATAGTCACTTCTTCGCTCGTTTCAGTTTGCTGGCCGCGTCGTCATCAGCCGCCGCCGAGGATTCCCCCACTGACTTCGGGTACTTACTCAGTTGAACTTCAAAATCTTTCTCCGAGGTTACCTTATGTCGGGTACAATCAGACGCTTTTATATATATGATTCTGTCTTGGGTCCCAGTCTGCTTCCTGTAGTGTTGGCTGGCCTTTTTGAAGATAGCCTACCTCATCCTAGTCAGGAGATCCCTGACCGAAACCAAGGAACAAATGTGACTTTCGACAGTGCCCAGTTTGGATGTGATCGACTTGCTTGGATTTGTCACATATATGGATGAGAAGCAGATAAAGTATGCATAAGATCAGCTCACGGAATGTGCGTAACTCTTCCACCAATATTGTAACAGTATCCTTACATGAGTTCGCAGTCTTGAACTATGCCTCCAATGCTGCCATCTGCCTGGTGATGCTAATCTGGACCTTATTTAGTACAGATAGTACCTCTCTATTATCACCCCTAGCTTCAGTGTTGACAAGTGTTGTCGGGTGAAACAAACACTGCTTTGTGGTTCAGTGCAATTGCTGCAACCGGCAGGTGGTTGTGCAACTTGTATGTGGAGTTAGTTGGATAACCTTACAAACACTGGTGGCACTTTTACAATACTTTAGCAACAAAATAAAAGTAAATTTGAATTTAATAAACAAATATTTATAATTATGTTTAATAAAAATTTGTAAGAACTAAGTGGATGTCACTTATTCACACCTACCCCCGAATCAAATATTGTTATAAATAGGGTGACGTTAAAATTGTGAGGAAACATGGCCTTATGTGTCAATTGGCTAATCCACTTTGTGATAGTGTGTTTATGGTTTTTCTTTCTCCACACACTTTTTTGATCCTGCACTTTTACTTATATTAAATAATAAATAATAATAAATGTTTATTAACCATATTTTGTAGAGGTACAGTAACACTTATATATAACATTAATCGTTATATCATATAAAAAGTGAATACTTAAGATGAAACTATGGTACCCAAGGTAAGATCAAACTTGTGTTATGGGTACCACCGTTGTCCTTCTTCATTTGCACAAACTTAAGTTGTTGGACGAACACTTCAAACAGACTTCAAACAGGCTTAGAATGGAATAAACATTATGCTAATATACTGTACTATATATTATTTTCTAAGTAGGTACTAATGCAGCCTCTTTTGATTTGCGAGTGCATACTTAATTATGATTTTGTGGCACACGCACGAAGCGCTTAGCACCAAGCTTCCTTGAGCGTACTGCTAAGGAGTGGAATTCTTTGCCAGAGTCTGTATTTCCTAAAGGGTTTGACCTGGATGTCTTTAAGGCCCGAGTGAATAGGTTGCTTATGAGACAACGTGCTCCATCGTAGACCGCATCATCGCTTACCAGCAGGCTATATAGTGGTCAAACATCGGCCCAAAAATTATAAAAAAAAAACTTGTTGACTTGACATGATGATAAATAAACAATAGGTCTTAACGAATTTGGGATTTTGAGGGTTAAGGATGGAAGACGGAAACAGGATTGGACTTCCTGGAATTTTAACGACCTCAATGACACGGCGAAACACAACGCAAATGTTGCTCCACGTCGATGTTCTGTGAGGTTGCTGTCTGAATAGGTAACTCCGGTTGAGCCGGACAAAACATATATACTATTGCTCCTGTCTGCCTAAACAGTAGGAGTAAGTTCGAAATACCTACGTATTTAGGATAATAGGATAATAAATGAGTATGCTGGACGAAGGGACACTTCGCATTAGGGCGGAACCGTAGTTGTTTTCGACCGCGTAATCCGACGCCCGTTGTTCAAGGAATCTTAAAGAGCCGGCTCCTTGTTTTAAAAAAAATACGCACTTAAAAAGCGTTGCGGGGTTAGAGGCTTTTCGCTTTACTCGGCGCGGTTTAAAACAGCCGCGGTTCCACTCTAGTGCGGTCGAGGTCTTAAGTAAAATAACATTCGAGATTACTACCTACATTACAGATAGAGTTACTGTGAAATGAAAAAAAAATGGTTCTTCATATACATAGTATACTTATATTTACATAAAACATTTTATATTATACCTAAGTAAATATATAACAATTATTATAATCAGCAAATTTTTTCATTCATCCTAAAAATACTTAGGCACAGTGTTATTGAATTTAAGTTCTATATAGTCTTTGTAAGAAGAAAACAGCATAGCTTTCCCGCTCCAAATACTACATAGTTTACACATTTCAATATCCATTAATTTCTATCAAATATACAATCAGTTAGGTACCTACATATTTTAATACGGAAAGTAGATACACGCGAGACACAATGTGTTTTCTATTGTCTCTGTGTAAAAATTTATAACAATAAATTAACTAAAACTAAGTATTGTTGTATTTTATCTAACTTACAACCTACATACTTACTACACTTTGTACTTATATACTTGCTATGATTACAATTGGTGTTCATAATATACTTAATGTACATAATAATTACTTCCAAATTGTAATAACACTTTGGTAAAAAGAATATACCCAGTAGTGTCAAAGTTATCTGCTGGTAGTTGTGTATGTCCACATTAAATTCTCTTAAGTTCTATATTCCATTAACCCATCTAGTCTCTTGGGTGGATCATTTGCAGGGGTCAAATACACGACAGGTTACAACACTAAGAAGCCCATGTTGTGTACATAATTACCATGAAACAGGCAATACTTGTAAGAGACTCAACACTTGTGCTATGTGCCTGTATTTCATATTCCATACTTCATTAAATTGCCGTTCCACGCTCCAAGTTCTGTTTAATTTCAGCTGTATGCTCTCCGTAAAATCTCTCCAGTTTCTTATTGAACTTGGCATTTCTTTCATTAATGTAATCAATATCTGCATCATCATTGTGTATGCGTCTCCTAGAGTAACGAGCTCTCTTGGCAATCTGCCCTTCCAGGTCATCAACCATCTTGTCGACAGCTTCTCTCCGGTCCTCATGCATTCCATGAATGATAACATTAGGTCCACCATAGAAAGCATCACCATACTTCTGTTTCTGTTTCTCATACTGTTCCATATCAGCTGCTGGCATATTTTTAACCAACCTGTTGTATTGCCTCACGGTTGCTTGTTCATATGTAGAGAATCCTTCATCAGGATTCTTCTTCTTCTTTTTACGTTCAAGTCGCTCAGCCTCTACTGCTGATATGTTTAATAGTTTCACTCTGTCGTAATCTTTCCCTGCTTTCTCTGCCTCTTGACGCTTTGCTTGGTCGTCGAGCAGCCATTCAGCTTGACGTCGCTTCGCCTCGTAGTTCGGCGGTAGCTTATTCCTGGCCTCCTCAGCAACTACTTCTTGATGGTTGTGCGTCCTTGCTTCGTTTCGAGCAGAGTGTAATGATCGCAATCTTTTCATGCGTTCAGCTTGTTTCTCAGCAAATGAAAGCTCTTTGGGGGCCGATGTCGATTGTTCTGATTGAGAACTCATTGTTGGATTATGTTATAGAAATTTTTCACCAGACAAAGAATAAACACACGTGCAATATTGTAACAAAATTTAAGTGCGAGACTCCTAGTCTTGATCGAAAATATGATGCGTCAGGCTAGCTGACGAGCACTGATGCTATGCAGGAACCAGAACACAAGCGACGAACAAGCGATGAATAAAAAGAATAACAAATAGTTATTATTCCAAAAAAACGTAAATAATCCACAATTCACCAAATTCAAAATTGTTTTGTTGATTTGAGGTTGACGTGAGTCACGTTAGTTTGACTTTGAGTTGACGTTTGACTTACTTGACTGACGACAATGGGCAATAGGTAACCAACACCAACGTGAGCGTGAGTTCCGTGACTCGCTAAAATGTACTAAAACTAGTAAAAAGTTAAAAATAAACTCTGCGCTCTGCTAAAAACTTTTAAGTTCCTAGTCCATACTAATAAGAATTTTACAATGTAATTGCCATTTAGTTATTAAATTTTAAAATTAGTTATTAGTTAAACACAGCACGAGAAAAGCATACTTAATCATTAATACATTAGTCGATTAATAATTAATTAGACCTCTCACCACGCACGTCTCTACCTTTACTAAATCGGTTATTATTTACTATTTATTAAAAAAGAATTAAGTAATTACTAAATTAAAAAGTAATTGTTTTATGAATTCCTAACAATAAACTTTAACACTAGTATTGTAAGCAATTTTAGTAAAAAAAATTGGCGCTCATTGACGTTATGTCGATTCGATGTTACAACTGACATGAAGTTAGTAATAGTAATACAACAAACAACTTCGAAATATCATACTGAAGTGAGGCAGTCTGTCGGTGTTTTGGAACAGTGACGGTTGTGTGAAATTGTGTTGTAAAGTATATTTTTCTGATAAATTCTCAAGTGTTTCTGGAGTTCACGATGTCGGATGAAATCGCGGAAAATGGAACAGCGAACGGAGACGTCCCGGAGATCGAGCTGATTATTAAGGTAGCTATAGTTTTTACACGTGTTATGCACAAGATTAGCTGCTAACATCGGTCAACACGGCACGCGTTACTGTAGTTGGCCTTCGGAGATATAAGAAGATTGTGAAGAGGTGGCAAACGTGATAAACGCAATTGTATTCTATGCGGCAAAGCTCGTACTTTCAAGTTGCCGAATGTAGGTGGGTACTTGGGGTACTCGCTGTGTACTTGTGTACGCTGGACATGCATTTGTAAATCGCATGATATTGTCGTGCTGCGCTCGTATGCATGAAAGTATATTATTACTGCACTTATAATGCGCGTTATCTAGGTCACTAGCAACTGTTTTGTTGTTCTCGTTGAGTTTGGCGCGTATTTTTATCGAGTATTTTGATTACATGTCGCTCTGAGGTTGTGTACATAAATATCTAGGTATGTAGTATAAATTCTAGACTGCGGACTTTATCGGTTCTATCAAGTTGTTTACTTATGTAATTTGAAGGGAAAAACCGGCCGCTGTATGGTATTTCCTACAAGTGCCCTGCCATTTGAAAGTTAGGAAAGTTGACAACATTCATGTAGTTAGATAGGTACTATTACTATGTATTCTGCCTACCCATGTATCCATATGGGAACAAAAGGTATTACTTTGTTAAAGCCTTAGTCATACTTATATTAGAATCATGCTTGTCCTGTTCACACAATTAGTAATGAAATGAGTCATCTACTTAGACATTATATTACTTACATGGTGTATAACCATCATTCTATAAATATTAGATGTATTACGGCTGTTAAAAGTCTAAACTTGGGTGTTAGTCATAATGCTAATAAGATACAAAACTAACACTTTACAAAAAAAAAAATAATAGTTTTTTGATATTTTATAATTTTAGTACTTTATATTTGTAATACTGAATCATTTGATGGGTACACCAATACTCATAGAAAATAAAAATAGCAATTAAACTGTCAAACACCAAGCGGTCACCGGTGACCGCAACCTATTGTTCTATAATTGTGTCTATAATGACAGTACTCAACAAGTTAAATCCATAAATATATTCAGGCAAAAAGTTTTGCACCATTGAACCAAATCCCATGGCCACTCTATCAGAGAAAAATATATTCATTACTACTTATAGTTTATGGTCATATAACTGTTCTAATTATAAAGTTACAGTATCAATTTTATTCAATTTAATGTTCGTATCTTTTGATTAATAAAATTTTATAATAATAACTGTAACCGTCTTATCATGATTTCTCAGTAACTTTGTTATCAAATTACTAAATATCAAATCCTGATATTATTGTATGGCTATGGACAGATTTTTATCAATGCAAATGATATCATACTTTTTAAAAATTGAAATTATTATTTTTACAAATTCAAGGTTACATGTTTATCAATAGTACCAACCTACCTATATGAAAATAACTTGATTATGGTCCTATTAATGATTGAGTTTTTTTTATATGTTTTACTATTAGCTACATTCTTATAATTATGAACCTAGTTTTATACTTGGTCCGGCTTTTGAGTAAGGTAAGTATATTATATTCTACTCTCTTCGTCATAAAAGTTAACATATAATGAAAAAACTTAAATTAAAAACTTACATGACATTAAAAAGTACTAGGTACCTTTTTAATTGTGAATTGCCAAATGCTTTTCCTATTCACAATCTAAAATAATACTTTATAAAATAATGTCTATTTACATTATACAGAATTACTTTACATATCCCATCAACCATCATTATTCTATGTCGGATACAATGTCTAATCAGTACTCTCATAAGACAGAGGTATTTAATCACTCAGAAGTATGGGAAATGAAAGAAAAACGACTATCAGACGTTGATATATTTCTTTATTGTTTGTCTGTTTGTTGGTATAATGAGAGAAAATGTTTTTATAAGCATAAACCTATAAATACATTCTATATCTATGACATTGTATCAATTTTAAAGAAAGGGATGAAGTATTAGTGTAGGTTGTGACTATTTATGTACCTACTTTGCTAAAGAGCATACCTATGTGTCCAATTGTAAATTACTGATATTTGTAATTACACTTAAGTATGTATTGTAATTTTTCATGAACCCTACTTCCTACTAATATTATAAATGCGAAAGGTTGTAAGCATATATGTCTGTGTGTGTGTTTTTATTACACTTCTATGTCAAAACTGCTGAAGGATCGAGATGAAATTTGTAACAGGGATAGATTATGTTCTGGAATAACACATAGACCACTTTTTATCCCACTGTAACGCAGGCGAATCTGCTGGCTGAAGAGATCGCTTATAATGACTAAGTCTGGGACATATTTGTGTCCCACACACACATACAACTCTTGCAATGAACAAGCCTTCAAAGAACTGTTGCCTAACTTCATACACTCCAATGTAGCTGCACAGTAATCTTGCAAATAGATGAAGACATGTTTCTGCGATCCATTTCCATTACACAGTAATGTTTGAAATGCTGCCAATAGTACAGTACATGTGCAAAAAGTATAAACAATGTTTACTCCAGTAATGTATTTATAGGAACTATGTCACTAAGTCAATGTCGGTAGAAAGACCTTCCATGTTCATATTAACTCTTCACCTACATCAACTGGTCAACCAATAATTACGTCATAATCAAGTCATGATTATTAATATTTGTGCCAGCTATTTCATTACACATTTGGTAATAGATATTTTGTATGCTTAGCAGAAAACATGGTTGCAGAATAACAAAAATGCACCGAGTTTCGATATTATTTATGCTCTTTCGTCCAATAGTAGGTAGTTTTGGGTGTCTCAAACTACCAGTTACCAATAACAAAAATCATAAAGCATACATAATATGCAGGTCTATACACGCAAAACTCCACAATCAAACTACCGTTAATCAGAGAGAAAATGGTCTTACTATTCACAGAAAGAGTATTTATAGTTCCTGTCTCAATACAGCCAGCATGTTTCGAAACTCAAAAGAGTTTATTAATTGCAGTGGATAGCCGTCTGACCTAAGAAACTCAATCCAGAAAGAACACTTCAGTTGACTAAGTACGCATTAGGCATCAAAGGTGTTTTCAATAGACAATAATTGCTCTACTGACATTTGCGTTCCCTCTTATTTCTAACACAAAAACATAATTGATCACTTACGCAATATCCCTAATTAGGCAGTCTATACATGTTTAACCTAAAGGGACTTGTCAGTTGATGAGATCAGCTCAATTAGCGATGCCCCATACAAGTAAGGCGATTATCCTGCCACTCCGGCTGCACTCGCGTGCACCTGCAGTTTTAAGAAGTTAACTTGTATTAGTCGGAGACTAGTACAAGGGAAAATTTAACTGACTTTAATATTCCTTTGTTTCAAGTCACTCTAATATGGAAATTGTTTTCTATAGACGCGCAATATACCTAATATTTCTCTAGCTAAAATACGTCGCTAATCGTGTAAAGTAGAATAATATAAATACCTAAGTTATTACTAAAAACCGATGCACTTTACTGATTCTGCCGTATTGTGCGTTGCTCTTACTTGCAACGCATTAGCCGCGGTTCGTGTTCGCTGATCGTAAAACACCTTGTTTTGGTCGTTCATCAACTGCGTTCAGATGCGTTGGCTTGAATTATATAATTTTAATTGGCATCGCGCAGATTACGAGTTAGCAGAACGAATATCTACTAGGAAGTCAGCGGCCCGCGAAAACGATAGTTGCATTTTGGCCTAAAAAACTTTTGATGTTACCAAATCGTCTGTTGCAGTCAGTTTTGATTGGATTCATTTCATCTTCCTTTTCCGTGTCGGATTGCTGGTATTTTTGTGGTTGAGGTAGATACCTCCTCTGTGCTGTATTAATCTTAATCTTAATATTAATATTAAAATTAATTAATCTTAATACAGCACAGAGGGGTGGTAAAATTGTCATAGTCTCTTTTTTCCTTCCTTCAAAAGGCGCTTAGGTTTTGGGGGAGGAAGACTAGGAGATTTAACCACAAGGTGGCCACCCTCCGCACCAGTAAGGGGCACTGGGTCTTCCAATAGACCAGCGCCGGAGCTCCCAGATATTGTAGTTGCCCCTACTTTGCACCATATTTTTGCCTTGTAACTGCTGTTTTTGTTTCTATCGCCAGTCTTGTTTTGTTCACGACCATGTAATTATACGTATGCAGTATTTCTAGAAGTTTCAAAGTACCTACATTGAATGCATCTCCTAGTGCGGCGGGCATTCCACACGAGAGAGCGCATGCGCGCCTTCGAAACAGAAACCTGCGCGGGCGCCATCCAGGGGAAAGTGACACTGCGCACGCGA